CTGGTTTCTAAAGAGGTTGTAATGATTAAGCTGGATGCAGATAAATCAGAGAATAGGCCACATGATTAAATGGTACCTCCTATTTAATTGTATCTCAGGTGCCAGGTACTTGTTACAATTCCTATCTCTGCCTTAAGGAAAAGCTTATGTTTTATAAGCCCAGCAAAGTGTAAAGGAGACAATAAGTTTAAATATAGCCAAGATGTTTGTGTTAAATGTGAAGTCAGTGTGCTCTTCCAAGAAACACACACACACACACACATTGTGTGTGTATATATATATGCATATGTCTGTATAGACACATATATATTATTTTCAGACCATTTTCTAAAATTATTTGACAACCTAGAGGATTTGAAAGAACTTTATAATTTTAAACTCAGCTTGATTTTAGGTATTCTAACAAGTTCAAAGGAATTCTATCCAACTTCTAAGGTCCTTTGCTATTATAATAACTATTTAGGAGAGCTATCCATGCCAATTCTTAGAAAAGGTATTTTCTTTTTCCAAATACCATATTGCTACCATATATGCCTTTAGTTGAAGACACAAACCTGGGGGAATTGTCTTTATTTTTCAGAATTCTATCTCCAGCATCTGATCTCCACCAATACTCAGTTACCTCCTTTGTAAGATTTTCCCTGATGTCTCACCAAAATATTAACTGGGTCTGGCTTTCTAAATTCATATAGTATTTTATTCTCTGTCTCTCTCCCTCTTCCTTTCTCTCTCTCACTTTTATCTCCACCTCTGTATCTCCACCTCTAGCTCTATGTCACTCTCACTGCAAATGTTTCTGAAGAGCAACACAATCCTTTTACGCACCTTATGTATACCCAGATCTTGGCATAAGCTCTTGAACATGGTAATTCTTTCCCACATTTGTATTAAGTATTCAGTGTGCTCTAGACTAAATAATACTTGGTTGTATTGTATTAAGTGCTTTCCTTTTGCTGCAAGTCTCTGATAAAGGCTTGTGGTTTATTAATTCATTTAATTTTCCAAATAACCGTAAGTAGGTCCTAATATTGTGAGGGGGAAGGGATGTCCTGAGAAAGCTCCAGACAGGCTTTGTGAACTCCACCCCCACTCCATCAAGACACTGGGAACTACAGATCCCATGATCACCAAAGGGTGCATAAAGGTTTTGAAATGTGTACTTTATATATCATATACAGTTATATGATATATAGATTATATATATAGATATAGATATAGATTGATCTCGATCTCTCTCTCTCTTTCCCTCCACCCCTCCCTCTCGCCAATCAAGCTGGTGCCCTGGCATTCTCTAGAAGCTCTCATAATCAGACACGGTCATGTATCCTGGAAACCATAGTTGCTTAGACAGTGAGTATGGACTCTGGATGCAAACTGTGTCTTCTAACCCAAATTCAGCATTTATCTACTCCACATCCTAATGTAACTTAGCTACAATTTACTAAATGAAAGCTCTGAGAACACAGTCTCTGGCACAAAGTCAGGATACCAAATGCTAGCTATTTTCAATTTTGCCTATTTTTAAGTGACTGAAATTATCTAAAAAATCAGTGATAAAAGTAAACCACATAAGGAAAATGAAAACCTGCAGGTATTGCTAGTAAAACTCATAATTTGATGCCATTCATGTTAAATCAAGCATGGACAGTTTTTTTTTTCCTCTTTCTGGAAGGAAAAATATGTGTTAATATTTTGGTTTTGTATTTTAGTTTAGTTTTTTTTTTTCAGGTCCTTGTACATATCTACATATCTAAGGGACAGTTTATGATAATCCTGACTGTTGCTTGAGAGAGAAGAAAACCCCCGTTGGGGCATGCCAGAAGACTAGAGAGCAGGATTCCAGACCAGAAACAACTCCACAAGATGTGCTTCTGGAAAAATTTAGTCACATCAGTTTTAGATGCCCCAGGAGAGCTCACTGTTTATCAGCGATGATTCTAATGAGGTCATTTTGGGTTGCAAGAAACACAATCCTGCTCAAATTACCAAAAAAAAAGTAGGTGATTTATGAAAAGAACACTTGTTTAAAAGAAAAGAAAACTAAAAGTTCCTAACTTTAGGAGATTTCAGAAACTAGGCAACTCCAAAGTCCTTCTCTTCTTCCCTCAAATCTCTTCTCTTCTGCTTTCATCTACTTCCTCAGACTTTCTGCCTTTCTCTTTTTCCCACTTACTCTACAGCATTTTTTATTCAAGACCCTTGTATTACAAAGTGCATTTCCCATTCAATTAAACATGGCTAGCAGAAAGAGCGCCCAAGAAGGGCTTCAAATGGGACCAGCATCCTAAAGCATTCTAGCTCTGGCAGAGCAAGCACTTCCATCCCTGTAGATACATCAAAAGTACCTCTGGGTTGCAACATCCATCTATCATATTTACAACTGGCACCAAGCCCAATCTTAAAAAAAAACATGTTTCCCAAACAACCTGAAATCTGTAGGAATTTATTTTTTTCTCAATTCTCTCTAAAATTTCTCATCAGAGTTTCTGATCAAATAACCACATTTGTGAGGTTTTCAATATGATTCTACATTAAAACCAAGGAAGCTGACATTTTTATTAGCATATTTAACACTCAATGAAATGTGCCAATTTTTTAAGGTTTTAAAAACATATTGAAGGGTTTTGTAGTGCTACGATCTACTGTCAGATACTACCTCAGAGACTGGAGTCAAGAAATGAAAAACTAAATTCTAAAATTCACACAACAATGCGATTCTTTTGTAGGATAAGGGCGAGATAGCAGATGGTTTTACGCCAAGGAGAAGTGTTGATGTGGGCTTGTTCTGATCTGTGTTTCATCTCAAGATGAAAAGGGGAAAGAAATCACACTTGAGAAAGCTATGAAGCTCCCTGAGATAGAATGTTGTTAGAGCTCTATGTAATCGATGAACATGTCTCTTGGGGAAGTGCAATTGGTGCACTACGACTAGACAAGCAGGAAAAATAAGCCATCATTTCATAAAAGATGGGTGGACATTTCCCAGTGGTTTTCAGAGCTTAAACCCAGGCTCTATGCAGCATCAGAATCTTTGTTTGTTTTGCTGAAACATCCCTTGTGGTAATGTATTTGGGAATTGTTCAGGGTCTTGTTTTGTTTGTTTTTTTGCTTATTTTTTAAAATTATTTTGTTTACTTATTTTTACTTTTGAATGTTTAATGCAGACACTGGAGAGTATTCCAAATTTCCTAGCTGGCCATAGACTAGCACTGCAAATACTTTGAATGTGAAATAGAACATTTAATTTCATTTATTTAAAAAATAGTGACTATGCCAAACATTGTCAATAATTTTTGCTAAAGAACAATTATATGGGCTTCCCTGGTGGTGAAGCGGGTTGAGTGCCATGCTGTGAAGCTGTCTGCAGCCTCTGTAGTGCCAGTTCGATCCACGCCAACTGGCGAGAATCCCACCTGGTGTGGCAGACCTCTCCTGTCGCTCCTGCTGCTCCCCTCAGCAATGTGTTTCAGTTGTCTGCCTGTTCTGCTCCCTGCTCTGTCTTGGTGAATCTTCACACCCCCCCACGCCTCTGGCCTGTACCCCAGCTCTTGTATAAAAATAAAAAAATAAAATAAGTATAAAAAATTATAGTAAAGGTTAAATGAGTCCTATACCAGGGGAAAAACAGAGTGTTAGCATAGTGAGTACTGTCAAAAATCACTTCTATCTCTCCTCCCAAACAAAATGATAGTATGTGTAATTACACACTCTGCCCTATTAAATTGTAGCTGGGTGACTTATTTTGGCCAATGATATGGAGTAGGTATATGAATCAGGTTGTTTTCATGTTTACGTGGAAAAATTGGGGTATATGCCAGAGGTTTGGGGGGTGTGGTGAGAGAATTCACCAGGGAAAGATTGGGGAGTAAAACATGTGGATCTACTGAAACACAGTGCTGAAGGGAGCTGTGAGCGAGACATGAGAGGTCTGCTGTGCCATGTGGGTCAGTTTCCTGGCCCAGATCAAACTCAGGCTGTAGCAGTGATAGAACTGAGACTCAACCCTTAGGCTCCCAAATTGCTTTTGGATAATTTTTTTTGGAGTCATGATATATTATTATTTTTTTTCCTTTGAACAGAAACTGAGAACATCCCCAAGGTTTCCATATTATCTGGAAATCTGGATTGAAAACTGAAGACAAAGCAGAACGGAACTTTCAGCAGACCCATGATAAATACATAGCATGAACAGGAAATAAACTTTTAATGTGTTGAACCTCTGAGACCTGGGTTTGTTACTGCAGCATAAGCATATTATCCAGATTTGTTTGGGTGCTAAATGAGGCATATCTAAGGTGCACCAAACTTAGGGTGCAGGAAAAGTTTCCAGTATATTACATTCACATGCACAGATTATTTCCATAACTATTGCATCACCTACTCAATTGTAAACTCTGAGGACACAGCACTTTACACAAAAGATTTGTCCAGTAAATGCTGGTTTAAGTTGGATGAGTCAAAAATAAAATAGGAGCTCCCTGGTGGTACAAATTGTTAAGCACAGCTTTGTCAAGCTATCCACAGCCTCTGCAGCATGAGTTCGATCCCAGGAGAGCCAGGGAGCTACCCACAAGGTGCAGCAGAGCTCTCCTGTCTCGCCCACTGCTCCCCTCAGCAGTGTATTTCAGTCATTCTGCCCACTCAGCTACCAACTCTGACTCTGGTGAATCCTCCCACCCCTTGCACCTCCGGCCTGTACCCCATTTCTTGTATGCATAAATAAATAAATCTTTAAAATAAATAAATAAATATAAATAAATATTTGCTCTAGAAAGTCAAATTCAGGGCTCATCTGTAGTGCCTATTAGCCAAGAATACTAGTACTAGTACTAGTACTAGTACTAGTACTCTACATTATATGCTTGGAAAAATTTGCATGTTTTTCTTTATTTCAATGAATATCAGATGCTTAAACTAAATTGGAATGATAATTATATGAAAATATTTATCATATTTTTGTTCAAGCCAGATAATCAATAAAATGCTACTTTTTCTTCCAGAATCATCAACTTCTGCTTCTTTTATAATCCAAAGCTGACAAACTCTAAACTTGATGTGGAAATCAAGACAGCAATTTGCTCCTACAACATTGGAACATAAGACTGAAACTTGAAAACATGATCACCTCTAATAAAAGTAACATATGCCAGCTATCTTCCACTTTAAAATAAATAATTGAAACAATATCGACAAAATAGGATATCTTACTGCCAGTTTGACTTTAAAAATACTTTTTGATGTTCCATTGTGAGATTGCTAATTGTCTTGCCTAGAAATCTCCATTTGCTTTTCTCCTTTATTAATATTTCCTAATTAATATAATACCAGCTTTGGAGTGTTCAAAAATGGTAACTACAGACCTAGATCAAATTTTATGCCTTACTTCAGACAGTTTGAAATTAATAGGAATTTTGCATGAGTAATTTTACATGATTGGGTATTTATACACACAGACATATATATGGGGGGGGAGGGAGATGGGGGGAGAGAGAGAGAGAGAGAGAGAGAGAGAGAGAGAGAGAGAGAGAGAGAGAGATTTTCAAGTATCCCCAGTGCTTTATGTACTCTTTGCTAAGAGAAGTTTCAATTCTTCCTGCTCCTAATAAAGTTTAACTCCGCTTGTCTTCCATGGAGTGATTTATAAAGAAATCTCCTATTATCCTTGCTGCGAGGAATGCTTCCCATTGCACTTTTGCTGTATCTTCAAATAGATATTCATCTCCACCAGGAAAAAAAAAAAAGCCTTTCAATGTTCATGGTGCCATGATTTACACTTGTTAGTTGAGGGGAAATTAATCCAAAGTGACTTGATGTTTCAATGTGAAACATCATGGGTAAGAAGTATTCGACCAAAGCAAAATATTTTGGAGTTGTGTTTAGCCTGTGACTGATTTGGCCATAACCCTGCATATAAAACAGACTGAAGAAACTGACTGAATCTTTGTAAATTCTTTACATCAACCTCCCCATTGAGTGAGTGATCAAAAACACAAAATTCAGAAACTACTGTTGGCAACTCTAAATGTATGTCTGCAAGGAATCAGGAAGTTCTTGGGAAAATTTGTTCAGTGAATTCAAATGAAGCCCATTTTGAAAAGTGCCTGTCAGCTTATGTGTTAAATATCTAAGGAAGGACTGCGTTTAGGTTTTTCTCAACCCAAATCTGCAGGCTCAAGCTATTCAGATATAATTTGGCTGAACACAAGATTAGCAGCCATACTGCTCTGATTCATCTGATTTTAATGGAACCCTTGGGGATTGACTCAATGCAGCTGACTGCTTTCTTGCTATATTAAATTGTCCCTGATCTGATTGGCTACATCATATTATAGACTATTTGTCACAGCATGATTTTACATTTGGTTCTCTATGAGTCCAGGCGAGTTAGCTATTTTCTTAAAGTTTTGATTCCCAATTTCAAAATTTGAGGATACAAGCATTACTAGTAAGTGTCCTTCAGGGTGGGGAAATAGAGGCTATCACTAATGACACATTACTTCGCCATTAAATAGACAACCGTGGGTTGTGAAGTTTTAAGTTCTTCAGTCCTCTGAAATATTTTCCAATTCTGCTTCTCAAGTAAGTAAGTGTGTGCACGTGTACACAGGTTTGGGACTTGCTTACATTTAGCACAACAGCTTCATTTACAGAAGACATTCCACCAGCATCAGTGTTTCATTTCAACTCACCATGTGTCCCAGTGCTAAAGAAACAGATTACAGTGTAAGAGTGCGAGTAAATATAGCCTTCCAAATCCTAGGCTCTCAAACCTCCTCATTTCACAGGGCACCATTAGTTTACTTTCTCAAAGCTGACTTCAGCATTTTGGCAGATGTTTTATGAATGTTGTAAATGGGGACAAAATGGAGAAATATCCTAATATTGAGAGTAGTAAATATCGTTGTCATGAGCCTAAGGCTTCACTATACACATTAGAAGAAAGTATTCTCTAAAGAAAATGGTTAGGAGTTAAAAGAGAATAAATCACTATTGTAATAATCATAAAAAAGCAATTGCATGCTGGTATTAGATAGTCTCTGGGTAACCAGGTGCTAATAATTTTACTGTATTAATGAAGACAAAGTCATATTGGTCTACTCATTTGGATGGCATTTCCCTCAACATTAGGAAAGCTTGATGTCTTCCTTTTTTAAACTCGAGTTATTAACTTGACCCTGTTATTGAGAGATTGCAATTCTTAATTTAAGGGTAATTTACATTGGCATCTATAACATTAGATACAAATGGGACATTAGCTAAGGATGGAGTGGAGGACATTCATGCATTTTTATGCTCTATTATGGCTAAGGAAGGATCAGGCCTGTGGCATAGATGGCAGATATTTACACCTTGCCTTTTTCCTGATGATTTTCATCTCACAAGCCCCATGCCTTGGAGACCAGACAGAAAAATACAAATGCAGAGAGGTGAATTATTTCATATCAAGTGTAAAGGTCTAGACCATTACTTTTTCCATCAGCGTAAAAGAACTCTTAGTACCTGTAGAAATGTATTTCTTAAATTTTCACTGAGTATTTTTAAGACCTAGCTTAAATCTTTTAGTTTGGTAATTTGTCAGATGCTTAAAACAAGTTCTTTTTAGATTTGAGACGATTCTATTTTGATTAAAAAAAAAAAAAGCCAAATCAACAACAACAACAACAAAAAAAAATACAGACAAGGGTAGAATCATTGAATCATGTAATCCTTACTGTGGCTTTAGCCTCTTCAAACCAAAACAAGTGTGAACACTACTAGTTAGGAGAAACTTCCAAAGAAAACTCTCACGGCCTATTTCTTACTATGGAAGAGAATGAAGAGGCACCTGCTATTTCTCTATTTCTCTTGACCTTATACTGCACTCGTCACAGCAATGATAATCAGTTGCTCTAATTTAGTAATTTCCTGCCCCTACATACATACTAGAGTCATTTGGGATGCTTTTTAAAAACATTGAGTTTGACCCCTATGCAGGGCCAACCAAATCAGAACTTCTGTGGACACTTGGGGTTTTAAGCTCCCTAAGCAATTCTAAAGTTCAGCTAAGGTTGAGAAACTTAACCTATTTATGTACTGTAAGAAGCTAGAAAACCAACAGTCTCCTTTCCAATAATTTGCTGTAGAACCTGATATTACATTATTAAGACAATTCATTGTATGTCTCCTACAGACTGTACTGTCCAGTAAATATGGTAGCCATCAGCACCAAGGGATACTGGATGACAGAAATTTGACTAGTGCAAATTGATACATGGTATGAGAGTAAAATATACATCCGATTTCTAAGACTTATAAGGAAATAGAGAATGCAAAAATACTTCAATAATAATTTAAATGTTGATTGCTGCTGAAATTATATTATGTTGAATATGCATTGAATATAATCAAATTAATCTCACTTGTTTATGTTTACTTTCACTGTAGCTTATAGAAATTTACATAGGTGACTCACTCTAATTTTATTGGAAATTGTAATGCTAGGGAAATGATTTCAATGTGCTAAAGATAATAGGTTAGCAAATTGGCACTGATTTGTTTACAGATTAGCCTATTTAAAACAATTTTATTATGCTAGTGGCAGAATAACAGAATTTGAGAATCCAGCAAATATAACAGGTGAATGATGCTGTGGGGGAGAAGATTGAAAAAGTCCAGATTGGGGAACGTTTTTCTAGTTTGGAACAGGCCTGCCATATTGAGTCATAATAGTTAGACACAAGTGTTAGATAAACTCTGCTTGCTTCATAGCCAGGAGTTATTCTTGACCCTGTTTTTCTCTTTCTGTTAATGTTAAGCAATGTTTTGAAAAATCATCTTGCCCTTTTCAGGTTATCATAGTGGAAATACCATGAGCCATTTGATTCTGCAGATTTGGGCTTTTGATTCAGCTGTCTCAGTACCACCCATGTGCTCCCCTGGGTGCCACTTCACTTTGGTGACCCCATGTGTTTTCATCTATAAAGTTGAGAAAATAAGACCTCTCCCAGGGCTACTTAAATGCTATCTTATGTAAAATAAATCCTGATCTGGTACCTGCAACACAGCGGATTTCAATCAATGATTGTCATACTTTCTCTTCTTTCTCTATATGAAGAATAGCCATTCATTCTTCAGAACTCAAATTAAAAATCACCTTTTTTATGAAGCCATAACTCAGCACATCCCCCTATATTTTTCATAGAACATTGTCAACAATTGATTTTAATTATTCAGGGACATAGTTGTTTCTCTTTACTATATTGTCATGAATATCTTAAGGTCAGAGCTATTCCAATTTTTTCTACCCCTAGTGTGTACCACAGAACAAAGAACAGAGCAGGTAATCAAGATGGCTGGATGGACAGAAGGATGGGAGAACATGGTTTATGATTCATCCTTGAAATCTTTGGAGTCAGCATACAATAGAAAAAATCAATTATTCAACAAAGAATAACAATAAGGTAAAGAAAGGAGAGTGAGTATAACATCTATTTTGTGTTTCATTTTGTATAATTGCCCACCTGGGCTTTGGCCAACCATATGGCAAATAGTTTATAAGGGGCTTCACTTTCATTGCTGTAGGAACACAGAAAAGCAAATCCCCCTCACCCTGTGCCCTTACATGAAAAATATAATCTGAGAAGTCATTACCCTCACTGTCCTGCTTCCCTCTAGCAAGTATCTGCTCTACTCTCAACTATATCCATCTACAAGTCTTTCTATAGCCAACTCAATCCACTTTCTGCTTTGATTTCATTGTTCATGCAAATGTTCAAACTGAATGATTACACCTTTTACTCCTCCCACCCCTACATCCCCACCTCCAGCCTGAGACTTGGTAGATCCTGTGCTCTTTTATAGTAGTCTACACTCTGCTTCTTCTGTTTCTCCCAATCAGACTAGAAGTAAATAATCTTTACCAGTTATCCTCACAGAGTACATTGTTTGTGGTTCCAAAGGACAATGAGAAAGCTCTTCTTGCCTCATCAACTATTTGTTTCTGTCAAGCCCTCTAGAAAATAAGATAAAGAAGAGAAGAAACTACTTTCTATTAATTGCATTCATTGTATTCTGGCTTAATGATTTTCACTTTATAGTCATTAAAAATATTTTCATCAGACTGAAGTTTATCTCCATGATAATTATGCCAATGGAGGGTGTAGCTTTCTAAAGATTTTCAACATTTTATGTTTACAAAGATCAATTCTGATTCTTTTTATATATTATATTAATTATATAATTAATTTCTAATACCTTCTGGATCCTTCCAAACACAGCGGCATTCTAAGTTCCCTTTGAACGAAAAGGTTGTGACCTGGACTCATGGATCTCTCAGACAGTGGCCATGACTGACTGTGCATGAGGGATGGGAAAAGTTGAAGATGCCAAGGGGGGCTGGATATGGGAATTGTTTAATGTCCTACATAATAATCACTTTAATTTATTCAACATTTATCTGTCAAGGTACAGATAAGTGAACTATTTCAATGAAAGGTTGAATTCTAGGTTTAAAATACAAGGGGTGTATTATAAACACCTAAACAAGTATTTTTAATTATTTGGAGTTTTCTCTTATCTCAATAATTACTAACTACAATTAGATATCATTAGCTCAGGATAGAACTAACTGTAGGGGTGAAATTTTAAATTTCATTGTAGGTAAATAGCATTATATCATGTATAATTCAATTATAGTTTTTATTATAAATTATTTTTATGGAACTAACATTGATTTAAAATAATTGGTTTACCTCCAAAGTGTGATTTGGAGATATAGAGTCACATCTCTTCAGATGTATGTTTTCATCCACACCCTCCACCAAAGCACTTATAACCCTCCAACAAAGTCCATTGGGCCTCCTCAACATTTCCCCCTAACTTCTTATGATAGCCTCATTTTATAGTACTTGTTTTAGTTTAGTTTTATCTACCACTTCAGTTTGTTTCTTTATGTTTCACATGAGTGAAATCATCTGGTATTTGGCTTTCTCCTTTGATTTATCTTGCTTCACCTATTCCACTTTTATCCATGTTGTCACAAATAGCAAAATTTCATATTTTCTAACTGAAAAGATTCCATTGTGTATATAAACCACATCTTCCTTATTCACTCATTTAAATGACCAATTCAAAAAATGGGCAGAAGCCCTATATAGATACTTCTCCAAAGACATATAGATGACCAACAAGCACATGAAAAAAATGCTCACCATCATTTATCATTAGGAAAACGAAAATTAAAACCACAATTAGGTACCACTTCACATCCATGAGAATGACACATATCAAAAACATAAGAAACAGCAAGAGTTGGTAAAGTGCTAGAGAAAAAAAGAAACCTTAGTATACTGTTGGTAGGAATGCAGACTGGACTAGCGCCTATGGAAAATAGTGTGGAGATTTCTCAAAATATTGAAACCTGATCTACCATATGATCTAGCAGTTCCACTTCTAGGTATTTACCTGAATACAAAAACACTAACTCAAAGGAATGCATGCATTCTTATGTTCATTGTGGCACTATTTATAATAGCCAAGTTATGAAAACAACCCCAGCTACAAAGTTTTACCTCACACAATTATCAGGTAACTTTCATATAACTGCCATAAGTTTCATGGTGTCGCCTTTAGTATCCAAAGATGAAAACCTGAGTTAATGAGCAACAGTTATATTTTCTAATTTATCTGAGTGACGATATATTGTTGCTTATAGACTGATCCAAGGCTTCTGCCTGATTAGCCAATTCAACCTTAGTTCTCCAATTCAACCTTAGTCAGAACCACAAATTAAAGCATAAAATAATAAATCCAATGAATGAGTGATCAATGTTAAGTACTTGATCCTATAACAGTGGGTTTGATCATCGGTTGAGATTATTCAGTCCTACATTTTCCTAGTTCCTTCACCTAATTACTGAAGAATGTTAGCAAATTTCTATCCATGGCTAACATTTCAAATCCATCAACTCTAAAATAGCAATGATAATAGTATTTACTTCTTAGAGTTGTTTTGAGAATTAAATGAGAATTTTTTTACACTTCAAAGGTAACTGATGATCAGTAAGCTTTAGATAATGAGCATGTCATCAAATAGAATGAGAAATACAAAAAAGAGAAGACCAAATTACTGATGTGTCCCCTTCTAAGACAATAGCACATAAGCCTCAAAAAAAAAAAAAAAAAAAAAAAGCTGAGCATACAATGGGAAGAAATTCCAAAGTCAAAAAGCTCTGAATCTGAATTCCATATTCAAAAATCACAAGCTGTATGATATTTAACAGACTGCTTAATTTCTCAGAGCCTCCATTTCTTTAATCTATAAAAAAGAGCTAATAACAAAGGCCCCATATATTCTGAAGATTAAGGTAGATCGTATCTGTAAAGCTCTGAAATTAAAAAAAAGGGAGAGGAAAATGTAGACGTGGCTAAATTAGTACAACATTTATATATATGACCTGTGCAGCTCTTGATAAGAAAGATGCTCTGTTTACTTGGTGATTTTTCCCAAATATAGATGAAAATAGGAAAGCTTAATATAACAGGATATTTTAAAGTAATCTTCTGACTGACTACAACTGTGCTTCCTTGTTATCACTGTTCAGGCCAGGAATGTGTTTACCTGTTGAATTTTTAGACAGGACATCAATAAGCAGACAGAGCACTTTGAAAAGCTGATTGTACCATAAACAGTCCTGAGGGAGAGGCATAGTAGGCTGATGGATTATCAGGAAGCTGGCACAGAGGTCAATGTTGAGTGGAACCAACCTTTAAAGAGATCATGTCTCAATGCTTTTCTGTGATAGCATTTGTGAAATGTCTTTTCTAAAACATACAAATTCTTCCTCCTATGCCCCCTAGGATTCTTTATGTCTCCAAAGGGTTTCTATTTTGTCATATCCCTTCAGATAATCCCAAAGACATGATTAGGTTTAAATCTTACTAATTTGTCCAACCATATCCTTTGGGATGCTAAGTATCCAGTAAATAATTTTTGAATAAAAAGGTTTTCAGTAAAATAAATGTAAGCTTATGATAATGCAGGAAGTTGTTATAGCATCTTTGGAAAACAATGGAGAATGCATAACAACATATACTGCAATGATCAAACACTACAACCCTGCAATGTATCACTCTGAAATAATTCAATAGAAAAATAAAACTCTGCCCATGATGTTCTGCGCTAAGCAATAATAGTTTTTGAAAAGTGTAAATACTGAACAAAACAGAATTGCTCAAGTAGATTATCATGTGACTGTAAAGTGATATGTCTTTTATAAAGACTTACTGAAATATTTTACAAAATATTTGATAACAGCTGTAACAAAATGAAATCCTGATTATGCTATGCTAATAACTGCATAAAATATGTAAGACCTTGTATAGCGGCTACAAAAGAATGTACAAACATAAAAACCCGTTGGTTTAGGATAGTCAAATTGTAAATTCTTCCTTAGTGATGTTTATTTTTAATAATTAAAATTAAGAGAAGATCCTAATGATTTCTTTTATGACACAAAACATTAAAAACCAGGTGTCATTTTGTGTTCACTCCCAGATCATCATAGAAGTTGTAGACTTACAGAAGTTATCTTGTTGTTTTTTTTTTAAGATTTATTTATTTATACAAGAACTGGGGTACAGACCAGAGGCATGGGAGGGTGAGAGGATTCACCAGAGACAGAGTGGGAAACAGAACAGGCAGACTGACTGAGATACACTGCTGAGAGGAGCAGCGGGTGAGACAGGAGAGATCTGCTGCGCCATCTGGGTTTCTCCCTGGCCAGCCGCGAATTGAACCCATGCTACAGAGGCTGCGGACAGCTTCACAGAACTGAGCTCAACCCGCTGCACCCTGACTAGTTCATTGCCTGACTTCCTATAGTATAGGATTTGTGAGACCCCTATGAGGGCACAGGGTAGGTATGACTTATTGAGAGCTATGTCCTGCATTGGTACAAGGACATGCATATTGTAAGCAATATGCAAAGTGCTTATTCAATAAAAGGAAGGAGGTAGGTTGTTCAAAACATGCCCTTCCCATACATTGGCTGTTTTTTTGCAAATCTACTGCAATAAAATCTTTTAAATTTCATGAAAGGAAACATTTTAAACAGTTGTTAATCATTTGCAGCTAGTATTTTGACTTTTTTATACCTACTATACTATGTATATAGGTGTGTATACATACACACAGAGACACACTATAGTATAGAGTTAACATTGATAAGGGGAATTAGATTCCTTAAGTGGAATGAGAGGTGGAAAAATACTGATGGTCAGTAATAGGAACAATGATTTATTTTGTCACTGTTTGTAGGTCTGGTTCCTATTAGATTTGACGTCGTACTATTAGTAACTTCATTTAATATA